GAAGAGCTTTATCACATTAAGGAGATTCCCTTATACTGTTCTTAATAAGAATCAGGAATGGGTGCCATCCTCAACATGGGCTTCCTTCTCTAAGAAGCTGGCTGCTCCACATGTCTCTAACTGAAGTCAGGGAAGAGGGGAGGCAGTCTGGGGAGCACATGCTCCATCCTTTGTGGATAAGACCCTAGAGTGGCAAACATCATCTTCATTCATATCTCAGTGGCCAAATACTAATCGCATAGCCACCTTTAGCTGCAAGGGAGGCTAGGAATTAACATTTTCCACTGGTCAGCTTGTGCCTACCTAAAGCACTAATATTGTGGGCAAGAAAGAGACCAGATACTGAAGGACAGCTAGCTGCACAAGATGGTCATATGCTTTGTTAATTTGTTAATGTATTAAAAAGCATAAATATATTTTCTAATGTTAAATCACCCTCATATTCCTTAAATAAATCCCACTTGATCATGCAGATTCTTTTACTGTCTTGTTGAGTTCTATTTGTGAGTGCTTTATTTAGGACTTTTACATCTGTGTTTATTAAATTTTTTTTAATTTTATTAAAAATTTTTTAATGTTTTATTTATTTTTGAGAGAGAGAGAGAGAGCATGATTTGGGTAGGGGTAGAGAGAGAGGGAGACACAGAATCTGAAGCAGGCTTCAGGCTCTGAGCTGTCAGCACGGACCCCGACACAGGGCTTGAACTCATGAACCCGTGAGATCATGACCTGAGCCAAAGTCAGACACCCAACAGACTGAGCCACCCACGTGCCCCAAAAATATTTTTAATTAAGTGGTAATACTTTAAATTTATGTAAATACTTTGCAGTTTTTAAGATCAGTTTATATACATTATGTCACAAGAATAAATGATCATCAGGAGCTGATTGTAAAAAAAAAAAAGTAAATATTAAGTATATAAATAGAAATTCTCACAAATGGAGCACTGTAGCCTTTTCTTATTATTGTCTAAATTACAAAAGGCCCTCCATAGAGGACACAGAGAATTGAAAAAGGATTTTTGATCACAGGAACCTAGGAGGGATGTTATCTCTCTCCAAGATGCACAGGGAGGAACAGGTCGGCCAGCCCTATAAAATACCTAGCACTCTGCTGGTGTTCTAGACATTCTCTTAATGCAGTGTTTTAATAACCTGATTTTGAATTTACAAGTAACGGACTTTCTGGTTATTAAATATCTTTTAGCTTTCTGAACTTTTGCTCTGATCCCTTACTATCTGCATATACCAAATGAGATAATGTCAATGGAGCACTCCCCTGGGAAGGGAAGCACTAAAAATACAGAGTGCTCTTGCTGTTTGTCTGGCCGCCGGGTCATATGTGTGCCTCTCACACGTTGTCTCACAGGGCTCAAGAGCCTTTCCAGAATACACAATAATTATATAACAGCGGTCACTCAGTAGTGTACAGTGCCTTTGGGAGGGAAATAAATGGTCCGCTGACATAATTTCACAAAAAGCCGCACTCAGAATGAGTAGGTGTTACAGTAAACACGGAAGCACCCAAATAGCAGGGTCTCTTTGTAGATTTTACCCCCACGAAATATGCTACTTGTTAATTTCTCTTCCCTGAGTCGCTGAGTCTCCCATGTGTCCTAGATTAGATACTTAGGGCTACATGTAACTGCGAGATCACTCGGCTTTCAGCATGTTCTCACCTCTTCTTCTCTCCCTCCCTCACACACACCTTGGAAGCAATTACACTGCCGTATACCTGGGGAGAGTCTGCTGGCTCCTCCCTGACGGTGCAGCTGCACATTTCACAATGAAGCAAAGATCAGGGAGTTATCTGATTACTCACACTGGTACATATGTCTCATTTGAACATATTAGACCCTGTAGTAGTTTTTGCCCTCGATTTTGTGCATTGATAAGACTGATGAGATAATTCATCCGGATCCACTTTATTGTACTGTTTTTGGATACCCTAAGTACCTAAATTCTTTTTTTTTTTAATTTTTTAAACGTTTTTTATTATTTATTTTTGAGACAGAGAGAGACAGAGCATGAACAGGGGAGGGGCAGAGAGAGAAGAAGACACAGAATCTGAAACAGGCTCCAGGCTCTGAGCTGTCAGCACAGAGCCCGACGTGGGGCTCGAACTCACGGACTGTGAGATCATGACCTGAGCCGAAGTCGGATGCTTAACCGACTGAGCCACCCAGGCGCCCCGTACCTAAATTCTTAATGACTGTTTCTATGGGATAAATGCATACCCTTTTTACCATGCACAATAACCCATAGCCTAAAGCACATAGAGAAATATCCAAGAATCCGTTTGTTTTTTTTTTTTTTTTACCATCATTAGCCCTAGAAAGATGAATAAAGTTGAGGCTAAATAAATAGAACTGCCTCACTGCCCTTTTCACTGTTCTCTTTCCAAGTGGTTATCCTCTGTCGTGAAGGTACACCAGTGATACAAATAACACAGGCAGTGTTAACTAAGCACTTATGTTTAAAATAAATGCTTTAAAATGGTTAATTATACTTTGCCCTACAGGAAGAGAAAATGTTCTCTTAGGTCCTTAAAAATGGATGAAGATGTAACTTAAAACTCTGTGGATACCTAAAATTTGGTTGCCTGTTTTTAAAATGCTTAGCTGGGGTTTGACTCTTCATTCTTAGGCTCTATGGTCTTTTAAGTATAAGTATATAATAGGAAAGTTGTATGGAGGAGAATTAGCGAAGACAGAGTTAGGCCACCAGACAATAAATATGTTAAAAACTACACAACTAAAGCAGCCTGCTGCAGGTTCAGCAAAAGATACGTCAGCCTTACTAAAAACTCCAAAAGTAGATCCGAACAGATCTGAGAATTTAAGGGAAAAATAAACTGCATCCTGTCTCTTCTCTGCCTGTCACATTATAAGAGCTGAGTAAATATTGTTACTAAATCACATTCAGGTTGTTTAAGATTTGAATGTAAAAACGATCATGTTTTGAGAAGCCATTTTCAATGAGTATTTCTTTCACCTTGAGTGAGGAAGCACTTTCCAAGCAGAGAATTAAAAGTGAAGGCCATAAAGGAATATATTAATAAAATTTGACTGCTAAAAAATGTAAAACCTATCATGGTGGGCATAGCATAATTGAATTGTTGGATCACTATGTTGTACATCTGAAACTAATACAGTATTAGATATTAACTATACTTCAATAAAAATAGATAATTAAAAAGACTGAAATAGGAATAAAAATGTAGAATTTGTGCAAGTCTGAGCATACAAAGTCCCATAAATAACCCCAAGATCCCATCCTCAAAAATCTAATCCTAGAGTCCTGAATAGACATGCTTTAAAGATGGAAGTATGGAAGTAAATTAAGTGAAAAAATTATAATTCTACCACTACTTAAATACCTGTAAAATAGCTACAGCACTGGAATGAGCCTCACCAGGTCAGATTAGTCCAGTGTATGCAGAAGATCATATTTCTGTAGAGACAAAACCCATCAGCAGCCTTAATCCCTCCCAAAACCTCAGACCACAGGCAGCCATTAGCCAAAGTAAACATGAAAAGAGGAGCATCAGAATTGTCAGTAATACTCTGCAAAGCTGAAATTCAAGCCATTGGCTTCAGTAATTCTCAGAAATAACAACCAAATCTAAACATTGGGGCTTTATGATTTGTACCATTGGGCCAATACAAAGGTTTTAGGGATTTTTAAAAATAGATAATTGATGTAGCACATACAAATACCTTTGTATATAGTTAGCTTTTAAAGTATTTATTCAGTGAAATGCCATCAAGGAATTTAGGATTGAAAACTTGCATAGAGATCAAGGTCAAGTGAAAGCCCTAAGTAGCCTCTAAGAGCTTGTAACACTCTGAACAAATGTAATCTGGTAGTTCCGGTAGCTGACTGACCTCTGCACGTGAACAAGGTCAGCTTTAAGCAGCTATAGCAGTGTTTAATTTTGCCCCGGATCTACAACATCCTAATTGCAAATTTGCACCTTTTAATTTGTAGTGACCCCAGGAATGGGCTGTGTCCATATAGAAGTGGGGCTCTTGAAGAACTTTATGGGCATGAATTGGGGTGATACCTGAGAACCTATCCTTGTGAAATTGAAATTAATAGTCTAGTTCAAGTATCAGCCACAGTGACATGTTGAGCTGGTCATTTTGGAGCTGAAATCATATCCATACTAGAGACTCCCTGTAGAGTCCCCAGAACTTCTCACCAAGAGGTTGTGCCTCTCACAGTATAATAAAGAATAGGGACAGTGACCCAGGTAACTCAGACCCCCAAAATTGCCACTTTTGCTTCAAACTGTCCAATAATGGATATTGTGGTAAAGGAGTATTTGACAGTTGAGGAAAAACAATTTTGAAATTATCTGTACAGCCTCCATCATCCCTTTGCTTGGTATGAGAAAATGCAAGCTGTTTACATTGAATTAGATAAAATAAGCATAAAATGGTTCTGAGACCATGATTTTATGTTTACAAATCATTAGAACTTGAAAGAGACCCATTTGGAGTTACTTTGGGTACTCAGCATAGGAGAAAATTGCCTTAGAAATGATAGAGAATTGAGTATTCCTGGTGCCATGAGAGGGAAAGAGAATGTGCAGACAGGTAGCATAGAACTGGGCATTTTACCCCTTTGCTATGGAGTAGTAGGTCCTCTTCCCCTCCTCAGTGTCTGTGAGATGCAACAGAGAACCATAATCTGGGCTAGGTAGGAAGGGGTCCACTTTTATCAGACCAGGGTCAGAACCTTAGAGAGCTAGAGAGTAGCATGATCATGAGTTCAATTTAGGTTCTTTTCTCCTATATAAGACAGCAGCATCCCAAGGTAACTGAAGGAGGTTGAGAATTTGACTCTGTTTCCAGCTATTAGATCTGGCATAGAATTATCAAAAGTAGGGTCATTATTTGGCTACGTGTTACTTTGACTAGACATTTCACTATGATTTCCCCCCTCTCTCTTATCCCCTTATCCTTATTGTCCCTCTCTTGCCTCCGTCACAACAGGTGTTGAAGACATCGTGGCAATAATGATTCCTGAACCAAAAGGGAAGGAGATAGTAAGCCTTCTGGAAAGGAACATCACCGTGACAATGTACATCACCATTGGAACCCGGAACTTGCAGAAATACGTGAGCCGCACTTCGGTTGTGTTTGTCTCCATCTCCTTCATTGTCCTGATGATCATATCCCTCGCGTGGCTGGTCTTTTATTATATCCAGAGGTTTCGATATGCAAATGCCAGGGACAGGAACCAGGTGAGTAGCAAAAAATTGTTTATTTAAAAATTACTATAAAAGTAATACATATTATTACACAAACTTTGAAAATCACAGAAAATACCAAGACAAAAACAAAATCACCTATTATCCCCACCCTCAACATAAACACTGTTACCATTTGCCATATAGTTTTCCAGATCATTCCCAAATACACATGTTGTGATATTTACTAGTGTTGTTCTGTAATGTTGAGGTATTTTGTCCCACATTCCTATTGCTCATTTTTTTGATGATTATTTACTTAGGCACATAATAAAGGGAGAAGGGAATGAGCTGAGATTGTGCTAACAGTGGCAACATTGTGTGAGAAAAGCCAGGATTTCCTACTGGTGAATGGAAGAAAAAAAAAGAAGATAAAAAATAAAAGCTATTTTAAAAAGCAGGGGCGCCTGGGTGGCTCAGTCGGTTAAGTGGACGACTTCGGCTCAGGTCGTGATCTCGTGGTATGTGAGTTCGAGCCCTGCGTCAGGCTCTGTGCTGACAGCTGAGCCTGGAGCCTGTTTCAGATTCTGTGTCTCCCTCTCTCTGACCCTCCCCTGTTCATGCTCTGTCTCTCCCAGTCTCAAAAATAAATAAACGTTAAAAAAAATTTTTTAAAGCAATTAATTTTGGATCAGATAAGATATATATAGTATAAATGCAAAAGGTATAAAACAGTATGAAGTTAAAAGTATTTGCCTTCCCATATCTGTCCCTCAGTTATCCAGCCATCTTCCTGGAATATCTTCTCTTCCAGGGACATTTCATGTGCTTACAAACACACACACATTTTTAAACAAATGATAGCACACTTAACTCTAGATCCTTATTTCTTACTTCTTGGAAATTATTCATCTACACACTAGCTTCAAGCTGCCTTCTCATTTTTAATGACTGTATAACATTTCATTTTCTGCATATTTCACATCTATTAAACCAGCTCTGTTAAAAAAAAATGTCTGTGTGACATTAAGCACATTTGTGAGTATACCTCTAAGGTAAATTTTGGAAATGTAACAGCTAGGACAATGGTATGTGTATATTAAACTATGATAGATACTGCCCAAAGTCTGCCAAAAAGGTTGAATGAATTTTTATATTAACCAATGATAAACTAATACTGTTTATACTAATACAAACATTAGTATAGTACTCTCTATACTAACGTATACAATAATGCACTAATAATACTGTTTTCCCATATCCTTGGCAAAAGAATGTTAGGCCTTTTTGTTGTATACAATTCGATTAGTTAAAAATGGTATCACATTTTTCTTATCACAAATAATGTTGGACATCTTTTCAAGCAACATAGAAAAAAGTGAAATTTTTTTCTCTGGAGTACCTGCTTATGTTATCTGACCACTTTTCAGTTAAGTTGTGGGTCATTTTCTTACTGATCTGTGTAAGTCAAAGGAATTGATGAGAAGACTGTTAGTCATAAGACTTAGCCAACATAAAACTGACAGTTTTATCCTCCCAATTTGTCATTGCCTTTGATTTATCTGTGGCGCTCTTTGCCATGAAGGAATTTGTGGGTTTTACATAACTGCACTTACCTTTTTATGTAACTCCTGAGTTTTGTGTAATGGATCTTCTGCAGCCCAAGACTGTAGAAAAACATTCTCTCATTTCCATCCACTACTTTTTATTTCACTTTTATGATTAAGTCTTTAATCTACAGAGAACTTATCTCAGCATAAAGAAGTAGAGAGCCAACATTGTTTCATTCCAGATGGCCTACCTCATAGATTTTTATGACTGGTATTTATTCAATAATTAATCTTCCTCCCCCTCACATTCAGTATCCCCATTCAGCATATATTAAATACTCCTATGTATTTGGTTCTATTTCTGTGCCCTCTAAACTGTACCATAATCTATCTATTCATACTCCATTACCATACTATTTTGAGTACTTTAGCACTATAATATTGTCTCATAATCTTCCTTTATTTCTCTACCTTCACTTTTTATGTCTATTTTTATATAAATTTAAATTCCCTTTTATCTTTTTTAAACTTACAGAATAATTTCTAACCTTATGTGTTGAATCTTCCTAACTATTGTATATGTTTGCCCTTTATTCAGTGATTCTTTTTTGTCTCCTACTAGCATTTTTAAATATTATTATCTAATCTTGCACATTTTTCTTATGTTTATTCCTAGGTATTTAATAATTGTGTCGCTGTTATAAATGAAATATCATTTTTCATACACAAATCATTTTTAATGACTATAACATGCCTTATTATTACCTTAATAATAATGGTAATATTATATAGTATTATCTGCAGCATGTTCTAAGAGTTCTGTATATATTTTCACACATAATAGTCTTAACGACCCTTAATGAGGATTTTATCATTTTAATCAAGATGTTTAATTTTGACAAATGCCTTTTCAACAGCTATGGTCTGAGTTTTCTCTCTTGATGTGTTAGTAGGATTGTATTACATTAATGGATTTCTCAATATCAAACCATCCTGAATCTTCAATATATACTATTGTAACATATGCTAGATTGTATTTGTATTTTATTTGTTTTTACCCTAATATTCATATGTGGAATTCATCCATAGTTTACATTTATATCATTTTCAGGTAATGGTTATATGGCCTTTTTTGAGAAATTTGCAAATTCTTCTCCTTTTTTGGTAGTCTAGAGCTGCAATATACAACACAGTAACCACTAACCATGTGTGACCATTTAAATTTAAATTAATTGTAATACAATGAAATTGAAAATTATATTTCTCAGTTACACTAGCTGCATTTCGAATGTCCTATATGTGCACTGCCATTTGGTAGACATTCCCATCATCATGGAAAGTACCATGGGACAGCCCGACTCATGAGCCTTTTAAATAGCACTGGAATTAGCTGATTCTTTTTTTTTATATATTTTTAATGTTCATTTCTTTATTTTGAGAGGGAGAGAGTGAGCATGAGCAGGGGAGGGACAGAGAAAGAGGGAGAGAGAATCCCAAGCAGCCTCCGTGCTGGCAGTGCAGAGCCTCATGTGAATCATGAGATCGTGACCTGAGCAGAAATCAAGAGTCTGACACTTAACCGACTGAGTCACCTAGGTGCCCCTGCAATTAGCTGATTCTTCAAGTTACAGTAGAAAATTTCTGCATGCCAGTAAGGTCTGGGTTATTGTTTAAAAGGACAACTCTTTGACTTCTTCTATTTTATGGCAATTGGTTTGTTTAAATTTTTGACAGCTTCTGGAACAATTTCTAAAAACATTATTACTGCATGTTTTCTACTTCTCAATTTGATACATGTTCAATCTAATAAATTTTGGCATTCAAAAAAATTACTAAAAGGGAAGACAAATCACCCATTACCCCATGGAGTTGTTAACAGTTGATGACATTACCTTTCAGGTTTTGTAACCACCTAAATATATATTTGGTAAATTGTGATTATATATGTGTCTATGCATGACACACAAATATACATGTAAGCTTTGTATTCTGTTTTTTAATTAACTGGTCAGCATTTCCCCTGTCATGAAATAATCTTTAAAACATGATTTTTAGTGGTTATATAGTAGTCCACTTCCACCACTTACCAAACATGGGCAAGTTACTTAATCTTTTCATGCTTTGGTTTTCTAAACTAAATGGGAATATATCTTCCTCTTATGGTTATGGGCTAATGTATATTTTTTAAAGCCTCTGAACATGAAGCTAATGACTTTTTTAGCTCTCAATAAATGGTATCCATTATTACTATCATATAGATTTCTATACCACTCTATAAATAAATCCAACTCTACCACTTTTATTGAATATTCTGGAATTTAAGTGGACATGTGCTACCAGTCAGACACAGGCAATGAAAATAGACATAGAACTAATATATTCAATTTCACTGGTTACTAAAGTTCACATATTAAGAAACTACACATATATAAATCAGTTAATGCTAAGATATCTAGCTAATTTGATAATGATGAATGAAAATGGTAACACTATATTTTTGAGTCTATGGATAGTCCAAGCCATCATTAGGCAATTCAGTCAACCATGAAATTTTAAGCTTGAATCTATTAGTTGATCAATTATTTCAATCACTGGGGCGCCTGGGTGGCTCAGTCGGTTAAGCGTCCGACTTCAGCTCAGGTCACGATCTCGCAGTCCGTGAGTTCGAGCCCCGCATCGGGCTCTGGGCTGATGGCTCGGAGCCTGGAGCCTGCTTCCGATTCTGTGTCTCCCTCTCTCTCTGCCCCTCCCCCGTTCATGCTCTGTCTCTCTCTGTCTCAAAAATAAATAAAAATAAATTTAAAATAATGAAAAAAAATTATTTCAATCACTAATCCGCTTTGTGCAGGTAAATGTAGTTTGCATGTCTCCAGGCATATGCATACTCTGTGATTTAGGTGAGAAGCTAATTGGAATTGGATGGTGTGTTAAGTGGTTCATAGGGTTTAAGCTTCTACTCTGCTCCAATTTGATTAACTTTCCTTAAATTGTAAACTATTCCCCTCAGGGTCACTCCATGAGTTGGGATCATGTTAAAAGTTAGCACTTTTAAATAGGCACTATACTTTGGTCCTTTGATGGATGGAATAAGAACATATAATTTCCTTTAGAAAAAGATTTCTCCTTTGATGGACAGTGCCCCATTCCACTCAGTAGAAAGCTTCAGCTATGCAAGCTATAGCTATAATAAGCCTCAGGTTAACTTAAGTCATTTATTTTTATTAAAGCAGTACTGGCCCTTCAGAAAGATTGACTCTCAGGTTAGTTGTAGGCTCACAGACAAAAATGCAATATCAAAGGTCTTAATGTTGCATTGGTGAAGTATTCAACCATTCAGGCAAGAGAGACCGAACTTGAATTAGGCAGGTGAGCACATCAGGTTCCGCTTGGCTTTGTGCAGATCACAACTGAAGAGCAGTCTCCATCATCTTACATGATCACTGGCCGGCGTGTCTTACTGTACCTGGAGAAGATCACTTCAGTGCCATTTCCCATGAAGTAAGA